GTGTGCCTCTAGTCTTTGTTGTGTGAGTCACACAAACATCTAAACAGCGTGGGAACATGTTTCAGCCGACCGAAGTGGGCTGGATGTCAGAGTGCGACTGTCTCATATTCACAACCCTCTAAGCTCGCCCTCTGGATTATTGTGGAAAACTTTAACACACTTTTTTTTTATCATTGAAATATTAAAACCACTCAGACTAAACATTGGAGAAGTAAAAATGGAAAACACCAGTCGCCTGAGCCTTTTGCATTATTGAGAAGAGCAAGAAAGGTGGATGGATGGGTGTGTACTTACCGAAAACATCAGCTGGATGAGCAAAGCATGATGGGACGCCAAAGGAAACACATAAAAACATGATATTAGCTTTTACATCTGCACATTGCTCCATGCAGTTACACCCTATAAAACAACTACTGATTGAATTTTCCCACAAATGCCACAAAGTGTTTAATTTAAACAGTTTAAAGTTGCAGAAAAATATCGCAGCTGCAGTTTTTCATGCACCTTTCTTAGCTTTCTTCTGCAGCTTTAGAGTGTCTGATGATCTCTTCTTGATCTCCTGACGGGCTTTCTTGTACTCTGGAAAACGCACACAAACACGGCGTGAATGCAAACAGCGTGTGAAGTTTGACATGCATGTAGAGGTTTTGTGTGTGTGTGTATGAAACCTTTGGCATGGTCTTTATCCAGAGTGTTGGCGACTCTTTTCCACTCCTCCATCTGCTCCTGTAGAGGGTTGATCAGACAGTCCAGAAACACCCTGAAAGCACACACACACATGCACACACACACACACACGGTTAAAGCTGTTCCTTTTGCGGACAAAAACAAAGACCACACAACACAAATCGAATTAAAGATGAAGGCCGGATTAAATCTGTGGGGAATGAATGCAGATGTGTGTGTGGGCATCATTAGCAGAGTGATTAGCTGCAGCGGTTTCTTCCTAACAGAACCGATGCACGTGCAGAAATCAAAGGACTTGATATTTTTAAGCATGCAGATCAGATTTAAGTGTGCATACAGCATCCGGAGCATGCATGAGCCTCTCTGCCTCGTTGGGGCTCGATCACCAGTAAACTGGTGCATGGAGATCATTCCCAGGACTTCTAAGAAGTTTGTATTTACCAATAATTTGACACAAGCATATGTATTGAGTTTCTTGAATGAAGAAGATGATTCATAAAGCAGTTTGTAAGAGGATTTATTCTGAGGTCATTTTTCCATTTAGCAATTAAAGGCTGACAGAGATCAGGAGCTATTAGATATTATGAGGTCATATTTACTGGGATTTGCATGAGCTGCTGTGCATATGTCCGGCATTAAAAGAAAGTCAAACACTAGTTTCACTCCTGTGTTTGCCCCTGCACACCACCAACGTTGGTCTAGAATAAATACTGTGATTACAAGTAGAGAATAAAAAACAATTAGCTTTCATTCCCAGGTTAAATGACTGCTGAGGTCACGACCTTTTAGCAGCTCCAGTGCCAGTTAGCAGTGAGTCAAACTGGGCAGACTTGATCATTTTCACCTCTTTTCCATCGATGATGTGAGTCAGTGCAGCTACCTTTGAAATTCCACTCAGTCCTCATTTAACTGGACTCGAGTTTGGTGAAACCGAAGAAGAAAGCAGTGAAATTGTTGCTACTTCTATGTGTCGTTATAGTGTTTACCCTGCTTTCTGACACTGTGACCTCAAACATGTTAAAGGGAAACGGCTCGGTCACCTTTAAAGGACGTTTACCCACAGTTTTTTTTTTAAAACTTACCTACTTGGTTATTTTGGTGTGAAAACAGAAGTTTATTTTAGAACACTTATTTAAGATTTAGCAGCCTGATACTGTATAATGTGACAATAAGAGGATTTTACATCCCATGTGGGCAGGAAACACCTTTGGATCCCCACCGAGGAGCTGAAGGGGGGAGGTGGTTGGGTGAAGGGCATCTGGGACGCTTTGATTAGCCATATAGAAAATAACTGGATGTCTGCTGTGACACATCATACTTTATTAACAGAGGTGAACCCTGCATCCTCCTGCTACTGCATCCCTATTCACAGAGTCAGCTGGAGGTCCCATCCTACAACTTCAATCTCTCAGACTCTGCTTTCA